AAAAACATAACCACCAGTGGACTGGGAACCTTTCATTTGTTTCTGTGTGTCGTATTATATTACAAATTGGAAAATTTATTATTTTCTAATTAAAATGCTTATCAAAAAAATTTTTTTTAAAACAATATTTATTGCTGCTGCTGCAAAAAAGAAATTTTTGTTTTACTTTTGAACAAACGAAAAAATTCTATTTTTTTTTTACTTTTGCTGCTTATAGAAACATTTAACTTTTAAAATGAAAAAAAAAAAAAAATGTTGTTTTTCTGTTTTCAAATACACTGCTGTTTCTTTCTTTTTAGATCTATTTTATTCTTTTCAATAAAATTTTAATGCCATAGAAGTGGTGAAAAGAAAGATGAAGAAGAAAAGGGGCAACGAAAAAACTGAAATAGCAGACAGAATTAATAGGCATAAATTTACAATTAGTGAATGATTTGGGTTGTCAATTTTTTTTTTTTGGTGGTGGTGTTGTTGTGCAGTTATAATTGGCTTAATTAAAATATAAAAATGTGTATTTCTATTTTGTTTTATAAAAGCAGTATAGTTTTTTTTTTAGGAATTTTTATTTTTGCAAATCTTAGATAAAACTTAAATCTCTCGGAATCATTCAATAGTTATACAACAAAAAAAAAAAAAAAAAAGAGAAGAGGTTGAAAGATTTGCAAAAAAAAAATAAATTTAGAAATTTTTATTAATAAAGGTTTTTTTTTTTCTTTGCTACTTAAACTATGATTTTTTTTTTTTTTGTTTTTTGAATTTAAAAAAATGCAAAACAGAGAGAGAGAGAGAGGATGAAAATGAGAGTGAAAATTAAAAAATGGAAGAAGACGAAATTCGAATTTCCTGTTGTTCCTTTTCTTTTGGTCTCTTTTTTTTTTTTCTTCTGCTATAATTAACAAAAATCAGTTTTTTTTTTTTGGTGATTTTGTAGTTGTTAGAAAAACAAAAAAGAAGGAATTTCAACTTTTTAATATATCCAATTACATTGTTTGCTGCAGAAAAATTTATCTTTATTTGTACTTTTTTTTTTTCCCCTCCTTTTCTAAAGGACATCTCTAATGACTCTTATTGAGGCACCAATTGTTGTTGTTGGGAACTGCCATTTACAGATGTGTAAAAAAAAAAAAAGGAAAAAAAAGGAATGTTTTATTCATTTTATTGAAAAAGGAATTTTTTTTTTTTTTTTCAGATTATATGGACCAAGTCATAGATATATTTGCGTAACACTATGTGTGTTAGGATTATTTGCAAATTTAGTACACATATGGGTATTAACCCGTCCATCTATGCAAAATTCATCTGTACATACTGTTCTTATCGCTATTGCAATGGCTGATATTGGTACAATGGCATCGTATTTTGTAAGTCTTTACTGCAAAAGTGTAAAGACTTTAATTCTATTTTTTTTTTCTTACTTAGATAAGCAACAGTGTTCAAGGAAAGAAAACAAAAAAAGTAATGCTTTGTACAGTAATTAATATTTGTTGAATAAATCCCCACCGCTCTTCTTTTGCAGATTTATTTGGAACGGTATGAATTTAATAAAGATGAAACAAATTTATACTCCTACTGGTGGACAGTATTCTTACAAATTCATGTTCTTCTTAGTATTGCATTACATGGCACTTCACTCTATTTGGTTGTTCTTGTTGCCTATATTAGACTTAGTGCAATTACCAATACAAATAGTCCATGGTTACAGCAACGTTTAACCAGGTATTTTTTAAACTTTTTATTAAAGCCTATTTAGAGCTGGTTTTCAAAAAGAAAAAACTAAATTTTAAAACCAGTCTTTTTATTGTGACATATACAAATTTGTTATATTTACAAAGTTTAATGTATAAAGTCCTAAGCTTAGTTGATATCCAATATTCTGTATCAACAGCTTTTTTT